GTCAACAAGTTTATAAAGAGTTACATGAAGAGATGGGTCATTTGGGTTCTGAACGCGTCATTGACTTGGCTCGAGAACGATTTTTTTGGCCTCACATGAAACAAGATATAACTCACTACGTCACGAAAGTCTGTCATTGCTTAAAGAGTCGGAAACCCGTAAGAAACCAACGTGAACCATTACATCCAATCGTAACCACCGCACCCTTCCAAATGGTTTATATCGACTACCTTCACCTCGAAACAAGCGTAGGAGGCTATCAATACATCCTGGTTGTTATGGACCACTTTACGAGGTATGCTCAAGCTTACGCGACTCGTGACAAATCAGCCAAGACCGCTGCAGACAAACTCTATAACGACTTTATCTTGCGCTATGGCTTCCCTGAGAGGATACACCACGACCAAGGTGCTGAGTTCGAGAATAAACTTTTCTTTAACCTGGAAAAAGTAATCGGAATTAAACACTCTCGGACAACCCCTTATCACCCCGAAGGTAATGGGCAAGTTGAACGATTTAATAGAACGCTCTTGTCAATGCTTCGGTCCTTGCCAGAAAAATACAAAAGTCGTTGGCGTGATCATCTCCAGAAAGTCGTACATGCATTCAATTGTACCAGAAATGACGTGACAGGATACTCCCCATTCCTCCTCCTCTTTGGCAGACCCCCGCGATTGCCAATTGACCTTATGTATGGTCTGAAACCCCCACCTGGCCATAGCACTTATCCTGAATATGTCAAGAAATGGCGAGAATCGATGTCCGAAGCATACCAACTTGCATCTGAAAAGGCAGAAAAGAACGCTACGAGTGGGAAAGTGCAATATGACAAGAAAGCGAAGAGTACGAGTCTACAACCCGGTGATCGTGTGTTAATACGAAATGTGAATGAAAGGGGTGGTCCCGGCAATTTACGGTCGTATTGGGAGGACAAAGTTTACAAAATCGTGCGTCAGAAATCAAATGAGTTTCCCGTGTATGAAGTCATTCCTGAGAGTGGCGGGGAGAAGACAAGAGTACTGCACAGGAACATGCTATTTCCATGTACGTATCTTCCTGTGGAGAATCCTATTGTGAAACCAGCTCAGTTAAAAAAGAAAAAGAAGAGTGAGAAGGAGAAACAGGTCACACAAGATTATCTGACAGATAGTGAAGACGAGTTCGAGATTGCTACGTTTGCACCTGAATTAACGCGGACAGACCCAGAGGACGAATTCGTGCCAGTGTCGGTTGAAAATGAAGCCCAGCAGAGTGTTGAGGAAGCTGTACAAGAAGGTGCCACACCAGAAGAACCAGCTGAAGAGAGTCAAGCTTCGACTGGTACCACGGTAGCAGCGGAGGCTGAGACACAAGTTGATTCACACCCAGTTAGTTCACAACGAGTACGACGACCACCAACCAGACTGGGATATGGCAATCTGGGTCAACCAACGGAACATTGGACCAGTATTAACGCGATCCATGCACCTGCCACAAACAGCATGTATCTACACCAATACCCTGTGCTCCCGACACCTCCGATACCGTTCTTTTCCCCAATACTTCCTATGTCATTACCTGTATTTCCATTATATTGGTCAAGTTGGCAAGGACCAATTATGCCATCAAATATATGGTGTTAGACACTGATATCAAGAGTCACGAAATCAGAAAACGAAAATTGTTGAAATTGCCATCATGTTGCGAATAATGACAGTTAGAAAACAGAAACAATAAAACTTTACAAGAGTTAAAGTTCCAGGAAAAGTTCCTGACCAACAACAAGTGAAAGCGGGGCCCGAAAAGATAAAGAAACACTTAGTTTAGATTACTGTCTACGTTCAATATTTGTGAGTCTGATCAACTCACACAGTTGACCAAGAAGTAGCCAAGATGAGTACAGACTATAGCGTTAAATGTTGGGCTATATAATAGATAATAAGGACAGCTTAAATTATAGGAGGGGTGAGTGTAGGATGCCCATTAGCAATACGTCATGTAACATTAGTTAAATAGGAACTATTGCATCATGCAGTTGTGACAGTTACCATAGTAACGAGAAAGGACAGACAAACAGATTTTCAAGATGGCGATTAGTCAACCACGTTGTTATTAATGTTCGCATTGTTTTACGAAATAAATTGTGCTTTCTACTGTTTTAATACTTGAATTATGGAATAGATCGAGAATTTAGTGAGCGGGCAACAATTGCGCGTACGTTTTTCGGAGCGACTTTGAGGAATTAGACCATAACATTAATTTTAGATTTGACTTCATTAACATCACTTACAATGATCTGTTGGTTTCTAAACTTTGTTCTTTGAATCCCATTTGTTTCGCAAACTGTGTGGCTAAAAATAATGCTTGATGTTAACGAGGTTACACATGCAGGCCTAAATACTGCGCCATGATTGGTTTATATGCCTATTACTTATTGAGAGTTAACAATACTGTAAACTGTTTTGAGTTTTGACCACGTTTTGCAGCTCCTTAATTTTATGGGTACACGTCTTATAGCACAAAAAGTATGACGTCGTAGGGATGCCTGAAAATGAATATTGTCAGCTGCTTACCATCCTCGCCAACAAGCAAGGTGTGACCTGTATGTACCATAACACTCCGAGCGACAGATATTGCACCACGAATATTCTTCAAACACCCCACCGAACCAACATCGAGAGAATCACTAAATCACGAAAAATAAGGAACCACGGAAAGTGATGTTAGAATTTTAAAAGACACGATTTTGCAATTGTTCACTATTTTGGAGTTGATAGCCATTTACTCCAGGTTTAGATGTTAGCTAGCTCCACTCCCTCTACATATGGTTATGGAGTTGATCAGGGCCGTAGCTAGACCGATAATTGGGGGGGGGGGGGGGGATATCTCATATATTCATGTTCTGCCCGACGGATTTCTTTTGAAAGCGATTGTTTTTACGGTATGTGAACATGATTCATGAATATACTGTATGAATAAACACCCTCCCCCCCCCCATTATCGTGTCTAACTACAGCCCTGTCTCAATTCAAAGTTCTAAAGCACATACTTTGACATTAGAATTTGGAGCTAGATATTTTTGCCAATGATAGATAAAACTGAATACAGTCTGTATTCAGTTTTATCTATCATTGGCAAAAATATCTATCAAAAATTATACAATACTCAATAGTTTGTTAATTATTGAGTATTAAAAGCTATAAAACTGGTTGTCTCACATGTTTCCTAGAACGAGTGCTCACCAGAAATTTTGAATCGACACAATTATTTCTCCTTGGAAGTTGAGTTACAGAGTTTAAATAACATTGTTTCCATAACTCTAGTCAAGGAAAAATTGTTGTGTTGACCAGGGGCGTAGGAACCGGGGCCACAGGGGGGCACGTGCCCCCCCATTTTTTTCAAAGGACCAAAAGTGCCCTTTTTTGTGATGAAAAGTGCCCTTTTTGCACCAGCTAATGTCGCTGTAAATACTAAATTAACATCAAAGGCGCCCTTTTTGTTTGGAAATTTCGATGTTTTTAAAAACGATTTGGTCAAGAACGTGCAATTTCGGTATGGTATGACGGGAAAATCCACCCATCTTCTGATGCTTCCTACGCCCCTGTTGTTGACACGTAAAAGCAATCAATATAACTATAAGGGACTAAGTAAGTAAGAAAGGACTTAGTTAATTCCTTGCATTTCGACATTTTAGACTTTTTCTAGTCAAACGAATTAGATTATTTTCACCACTTTGACTTACCCATCCATAATCATGGCATCCAGTGTTGTAATGCCATTTTCATCAGGACTAAAAATAACATTTAATGAATATTGTATATGTATATCATGCAACAAATAATTTTCTATGCAAATCATGCATGCCTTTGAATTAGCTTGCCTACTGATGCATTTGTCAGTAATATGAAATCTGAAGGCTGTGTCAAATATGTTTATTGGGGCTTCACAGGCGCAGTAGTCAGAGCAAGTGCCTTACGTTTCACCTCTGAGATCGTGCATGGGTTCGATCTCACTATGGACTCATGTGAAAAGAGTCTGTCAATTAACGCTCTGCCGAAAGTCGTGGGTTTTCTTCAGGTGTTGGTGGGGGACTAGGATTTACATAGTTAGGAAAGCAATATCACAATTGTTGTAAAGACAAATAGTCTAGGCTAAGTAACATACTGTAAGCAAGCGTAATACTTGATGCAGGGTTGGCAAATGTTCTTATATTAGTTGTTCTTATATTATAAGAATATTTTTTGGGGAGGCAAAAATGTTCTTATATTTTCTTATATTATTCCATTAATTATTCTACTTCGAAGTTGTAAATTTTAACTATTTGAGATTCATCCTGAAAATAAGACATACAGATAATAGTCGTATAAATACAGCAGTGATAACTATTTTTATAATTTTGAAAGCCAAGAGGTTACAGCAACATCTAAAATTGAATCGTCATTTTAGGATTTTGGATGATGTCATAATATGACGTCATCAAAGTTTGTGAAAATGTTCTTATATTGCAAAAAATGTTCTTATACTAATATAAGAAATAAGAACATTTTATTTTTGAAAAAGTGTTCTTATATCCAACCCTGACTTGATGTAATAGGTCATTGAAAAGCCCCAATGGGGAGTGAGCTGAATACGTAACATAATATGCAAAATTTGTTTTCTGCAAGTCATGTAGCCTGCGGGCAGCCCCATACCACCTCGTTTACGTGGTATGGGGCTGCCCGCAGGCTACAAGTCATGTAGTTGTCTGACCAGTGCATAAAACTCTCATTAATCTGTAAACTGACCAATTCTTAATGTATTTCTTAAATGCAAGGCTGAATATACATTTCACTATAGTATAGATGATTTTATTCACCTTGCTGCTTGGAGTTGAGCCAGGTGGATAGTACTCAGTGTACAAGACTTGATGTTTGTAATAGATAATATACCCACCTTCCTCCATATCCCACAGTACCATCACACTGTTCAACTTCACAAACGCTACAACCAAGTTCAACAGCATCCAGTGAAGATGATACACCATTGGTTATTACAGTCCATGCTATTGAGAAAATTAATGCTTTCTGTAGCTCTCAGGTGGTGTACAAGGTTGATATAGGTTGGGGCTCAATCACTTTTGGTGTTTTGATAAGAATGAGGACCCACGTTAAACTAATTAAACTTATTTAACAACTACAACAAATTCATGTGCCAAACACTATCTAGATCGAGTATTGCATCAACCTCATCTTGGCTTGCATTTGTCTTGAGTGCTTGACTTTAAGAGGTATTACACAGTATTTAACCCATCAAGTTGTATTACACCCTACATTGCTATTTTACTCTGTCTAATACCAGGTGATTGTGCTTGTCAAAGGGAGAGTGCTGACCCTCAGTGGTTAATTAGACTTAACCTGATTAATATGTGTCTAGTCAACCCATTAAGTTGCATTGTGCCCTGATGCACCCTAGCTACTCTGCCATTGTACTCTTCAAGGGGAGGGGTTAATAGACTATACTAAGTCTTCTAGATTTCATTTGCTGTACATGATGAACCTCATATCCAGAACTTTTTCCTGTAAACAGAGATGCTTAAAGTTTGTGACTGAAAGCAATTAAAAGCCTGTGTGTGAAATGCAACCCTCACAGCTGCATGAATAAACAAAATATATTGAGTTTTTATCAATTGTCAGTTGTCCTCTAGGCAAGATATATAGTAAATGGTCAACAACATGACAGCAGTTTCTCTATTATATTCAATGACAGTGATTGAAATACTCTGACCACCAGGCCATCCAGCTCAGCTATGTGAAAACAATTTTGCAAGGCAAACTGCATTGGAGAGTTAGATTTGACAAGTACAATTGCCTCACACAATATTATGCTATTGTAACTGCCTGTGATAATGTTAGCAACATTTACTTTATGCAGGGGTGGCAAACAGGAGTAGGGGGTCTACAGGGGCTAGAAGACTGGGAGCACCACATTGAGCACCAGCGCTCTCTCCTTGACAAGTATAAAGATCACCTGGCATTAGACTGCGTAAAATAATAAAGTAGGGTGTATTAGGGCCCAATTAATGCATGAAAAACATGACCTGGCATTGGCTTCTGCATGTCAAAGCTCTCCCCGTATGCAGGAAATACCATTCATAAACTATAGATTCCAGGACAGAATGCCTTCAGACCACTCAAGAGTCTAGCCTCCAGAAAACCAATTGGAAGACTGTTCATATCAGGTCATCTTATTGCATTTTTACAGCATCTTTTTGTTTTGAGGTGTGATATGTTACATTGGCTTGGCATACTGCAAGTTAACTTCGGCCTTAATTTGGTATCTTGTTTACATGTAATTATAGTTAGGATGGAATGCACACTGCTCTTTCTGCGAATAATGGGTGGACCTCTTTTTCCCTGCATGAGTCCCTGACCTTGCTTTTATATGTATCAATTAAGGTGGCTCGATAGAGTTTCCAAGAATTCAGGTGTTCAACACTTTGGCATTTTTAGGATTTATTCAGCAGATATTGGGTTTTTTATATATTTTGATATCTCTACTTTCAAATTATATTAGTTTTAGTAACAGATAGTTTGTTGCCATGACAATATATGTGTACGAAATTCACTCAAAAATGACCTATCGCCTCGTATAGTTGGAAAAGAAACATGGTGACCCCCAATATTTTTTTTGTGCATTATTTTACTTGGAAGAAAAACTAACAATTAGCAAATATAAAAAAATTCTGTAATGCCATTTTTTTGGAAAATGTCGTACTCTTCGGTAAAATGTTTTTGGCATTACAGAATTTTTTATTTTTTGTATAATGAAAGTTTTTAGCGGTGCAATACAGCATGCAAAATTTGAACATAGGTCACCAGACAAAATAGAGATATAGCGCATTGTTTTTCTAAAATGGAAAATTCTAATGACGTCAGCAATTGACATTTAACAAATATAAAACATTTTCCGTGTTGATATACAGTTATATCAACACGAGTGGAAATTGGGGAAACGAGAAATTGTGTGGAAACACGACGCCCGAAGGGCGGAGTGTTTTCACACAATTTCGAGTTTTCCCAATTTCCACGAGTGTTGATATAACTATATATCAATATGGAAAAAATGTTTTATATTTGTTTTATAATATAGCACAAAGAAATATAAAAAAAGAAACTTTCCGACATTTCCGTGTTGACATTGAGTTATATCAACACGGCTCTTAGCCAATCAGCGTTCAGAATATACAAACGCTATATTATAAAAAACGCTATAGAACATGCACAATGACGTGAGATGGTGCAAGCAACTGCTCACATCAAGACATTTTGGAAGTTCTTTCATTTTGTTAATCAGTTTCCGCGACCTGTGCCTAAAAATGGTCTCCAGGTTTTGTTCGCAATTCTTGAGCAGAGTTTTTGTGATAACTATATCGAGCCACCTTAATATGAATAATTATTAATTTGTAGCACTGTTAATAATTAAAGATGCTGTAAAGTCCGTTCTGCGCATACGTTCTGTGCAGGCCTACATACTGCAATGGTCCGGACCCTACCATTGCAGGGTCTGAAATTTAAATATTTTCTCAGTATCCAACTGGGGAACCAGGATTCAAAGTTTAGTATCCCCCCTGAGAATGCAATATCCCACTTCTTGATACTGGTTACCATAAGTATTCTACCCTGTCCCATCCAATAACTCTCGCTGTTACAAGCTATCAGGAGACTGTCAGAGGTACTTAACATTTCCCTAATCATGTTTCGCTCGCTACTCTGGTTTAAATAAATTATTACACAGCCCATGCAGTTGAATTGTAATCAAGACTTTGTAATCAAGACCCTTGATTACAATTCGACTGGGCTTTGTAATAATTTATTTAAACCAGAGTAGCGAGCGAAACATGATTGATATACCTGGTTGCAGTGAACGAACAAACTTTAAATTTCCCTAATGTTTGAAATTTTGTTAGTATCCAGTTGGGATGCAAGTCATTCACAGTTTGGTATCCAAAACCAAATTTTAGTATCCCGTGGATATCGGGATACTGCAAATTTCAGACCCTGCATTGCCTTCCGAACTTTCTTGAATTGAATCTCTAGTCTGTATTCATTTACAAGCATAGCGAACCAGAAGAGTTAAAAATTCAGTATATCTAATCATATTTTACAACTGTAGCACTGACTGAGTTCAAAATTAATGTAAACAAAGCGTTTGTTTACATTTGTACGGACTTTACAGCATCTTTAAAGCACTAGCATTATTTGTTGTTGTAGCATTATTTTAAAAAGAAAAGTTACACAATGAAAACTTTTCCACATTTTATTTTAATTTCAACTTGATGTATAAATTTTATAAATAAATCACAATTTAAAAAAATCAATTTCATCAGTATTATACCATATTTAAATGTGAAAGTACCTTTCTTGGTCGCATTAAAGAACGGCGGTCCCCAAGTATTTACGACAAGAGGCAGTTGACCTGACTCCGCAATTAAAATGAGATAAAATAAAACAATTTTTATGCAAATGACATTTCTAGTTGAAATTTCAAGTCTGGACGCCATCTTTAAAATTTCAAAATATACCCCCCCCCCCACCCCACTGATACCCCCCCCCCCTGCCGATTTCCAGCCATATAGCTGGAT